TTAAGTAGTAACATTTTCATACTTTTGCAGTTTTAGTGAGATAAAATTGACTGTATATGGTTAGTGAAAATGAAGGTCACTCAGTGGTGTCCGACTCTTTGTGATCCCATGGAGTATACAGTCCATGGAATTCTCCAGGCCAGAATGCTGGAGTGGGTAGACTTTCCCTTCTCCAGGGTATCTTCCCAACCCAGGGATCGAACCCAGGTCTCCCTCAGTGCAGGTGTATTCTTTACCAGATAAGCTGAAAGGGAAGCCCAAGAATACAGAGGTGGGTAGCCTATCCCTTCTCCAGCTGATCTTCCCGATCCAGGAATTGAACTGGGGTCTCCTGCATTGGAAGCAGATTCTTTACGAACTAGGCTTTCAGGGGAGCCCAATTTTAGGGAACATGGTTCAAATTGGTGACATAGGAAGATCCTAAGTTCACCTCCTTCTATGAATGCAGTGAATCTACAGCTACATATGAAACAATCACCTCTGAAAAAGATCTGAAAACTAGCAGAGCACCTTCTTCACAAAGGTGAGAAAAAGGCCACACTGAGGTAGATAGAACAGGCTGAGATACAGTCTCTATAAACTCCACCCCAGTGCACAAACCAAAAATGAGTTTTTTGTACTGTTCCAATTCTGATATAGAAGAAAATTGTTATTTTAGAACTCATAAAATTAAAAGATAGCTTTCTCCTGGAGACCCAGTGCTCCTTTCCTCCTTTAATAAGAGTTATTTTCCCTGGGACCCAGGTCTCCTGCATTGGCAGGTGGAGTCTTTACTGCTGAGCCACCAGGGAAGCCCCTGTCTCTATGATAAGCTCCATTTAAAAATGATTATTTCTCAGCAAGTGGCATAAAAAATCATTCCATTCCCTTTTATAAAGAAATAATAATAGTATTTTACAAAGTTGTGGTTTCACAAATATGATATTAACTCTTTTCAAAATGCTGTTTCTTAAAGGAATGAAGACAATTTTATGATTGGATGATTGTTCAGTAAAAGAAAGAGGCTTTTTTGCTTTGTGTAAGTGAAAACTATTTTCAGTTTTCTTTTTTATTCTGTTTTTGTTCCAGGAACCCAAAATGTGGCTGAAATATCCTTTTTTCAGAAAACTAATTTTTCTTGTTATAATGTAACACACATTTGTCTGGTATTAAAAAAATGAAGAATGAATAACACAAAATTTTTGAAATCTGAAAATTCATAAATATATAAAACATAAAAATCATGAGTAGTCCCGTTACTCAGAGATACCAACTGTTATCTGTTTAATATACACCCCTCATGAACTGTAAACTGCCATTTATATAAGCATTTATTAATATATTTGTGTATTTGTGTGTGTGTGTATTTTTCTTCTAAACAAAAATAAGATTTTAGTGAGGCATTTTTTAAAATTTCAATAAACATAAAAGCACCAAAAAAAAAGTTATTTTCGAAACTGTGTAGAGAATTTATGGATTAGGAAATCTCACAGGGAACATTTTTCCTATAAACGAGTCATTGATAGGCCAGTAAATTGGGATTCCCTGATAGCTCAGCTGGTAAGAATCCACCTGGATTGCAGGGTACCCCAGTTCAATTCCTGGGTCAGGAAGATACCCTGGAGAATGGATAGGCTACACACTCCAGTATTCTTGGGCTTCCCTGGTTTCTCAGATGGTAGAATCCATCTGCAATGAGGGACACATGGGTTCGATCCCTGGGTTAGGAAGATCCCCTGGAGGAGGGCATGGCAACCCACTCCAGTATTCTTGCCTGGAGAATCCCTATGCACAGAGGAGCCAGGTGGGTTACAGTCCATGGGGTCTCAGACAGCTGGACAAGACTGAGCCAGTAAGCACAGCACCAGCACTGATTTGCTAGGACTCATTTCTGAATCATATTGTCCAGAAATGCAATTTTTCATTGCCCTTACACCCAGCTTCAATATGGCTGGCTTCATGCGTGAACTGGGTGAAAGATTTTCTTAACAAGCTTCTGAACTTCTTACATATTCACTATATAAATTATATTTGCATCAGTTTTTCTGTAGTAAAAAAAAAGACTAGGGCTTCCTCTTCATTTCTGTAGCCTAAATGAACAGAAAATGGAAGGTGGGAAATGGACAGTCCCTAAGTGAAGGGAAAACTTGAGTAAACTATTGAATCTCTAGGGGACTGACAAATTAAGGAACAGAATGTAAATGCAATCCCCCCAGGTCCCTATTATACGTAGACTGTTCTCCTGTGGAAGAGACTGAGCAAGCTTCTGCCACATTTATAACTGAATGCATTATAGTATTACACTGACATTAAGTCTTCTGTGACTAAGTGACGAAACTAATAATAATGAAGAATGTTTATTTTTCTCTGTTGCTTGAGTGGACTGAAAGTCATAAACATAAATTGTGATCTATATTTCTAGAAGATTTTGAAGTCAAATCAGAAAATGCATATGCATTCTCTTAGAATCAAAGGAATCAAAGCTTCAGAACTTGAAGTTGCCGTACCAAGACCAGAGGGTAAAACCAATGATAAGAAAGCCCTGGGGTTTTCTGGAGACAGGAAGTTGAGTTTCTGAATTCCATTTATTCATGTGCTTCTTGTTTGAAATGGAAGTTCAAGGATCTAAGATATGACAACTTATTTCCCAATTTTGCATCATGAGACTCACACAAAACTTATTCAATGCAGGAATTAGTGAATGATCAGAGATACTAGGGGGCTAAAAGTGTGCATTAGACAGTCGGTAAGTCCCCTCTCCATGGATGGAAGTCTCACTCATCTATAGTTACAGCTTTTACTCCGTGATGTGTAATGAAGAGTTAACCTCACATAGACTCTGGCTGTTTAGTTTTAGTTAAGCAATTTTCTTTGTTCTCACCCCACCAGGTCTAATCTACTTTAGAGACCAGCACCTAAGTGCTAGAGTCTCTGCCTACAGTCTTATTGGTGAGTGGAGATTTCAAGTGAATGGAGAAATGTTGAGATGTGGGAAGAATGAGTCAATCCCGGTCCAAACCTTTCCTTTATCCACTCTTTGTTTTTTTCCCCAAGCTGTGGAGTCTGCACAGGGCAGTCATTTCCTTCCTTCTGTAGGCTAAGTTTTGATACTCTTTCCTACTTAGTTTACAAAGACCCAGTTCAGTTCAGTTCAGTCACTCTTTGTGACCCCCATAGACTGCAGCACGCCAGGTCTCTCTGTGCATCAGCAACTCCCAGAGCTTACTCAAACTCATGTCCATTGAGTCGGTGATGCCATCTAGCCATCTCATCCTCTGTCATTCCCTTCTCCTCCTGCCTTCAATCTTTCCCAGCATATGGATATTTTCCAAGGAGTCAGTTCTTCACATCAGGTGGCCAAAGTATTGGAGTTTCAGCTTCAGTATTAGTCCTTCCAATAAATATTCAGGACTGATTTCATTTAAGATGGACTGGTTGGATCTCCTTGCAGTCCAGGGGACCCTCAAGAGTCTTCTCCAACACCACAGTTCAAAAGCATCAATTATTCGGTGCTCAGCTTTCTTTATAGTCCAACTCTCACATGACTACTGGAAAAACCATAGCTTTGACTAGACAGACCTTAGTCAGCAAAGTAATGTCTCTGCTTTTTAATATACTGTTTAGGTTGGTCATAAATTTTCTTCCAGGGAGCAAGAGTCTTTTAATTTCATGGCTGCAGTCACCATCTGCTGTGATTTTGGAGTCCCAAAAAATAGTCTCTCACTGTTTCAGCTGTCTCCCCATCTATTTGCCAAGAAAAGATGGGACCAGATGCCATGATCTTAGTTTTCTTTTTTTTTCTTCTTAGTTTTCTAAATGTTGATCCTCAAGCCAACTTTTTCACTCTCATCCTTCACTTTCATCAAGAGGTTCTTTAGTGCTTCACTTTCTGCCATAAGGGTGGTGTCATGTGCATATCTGAAGGCTCTTGATATTTCTCCCGGCAATCTTGATTCCCACTTGTGCTTCATCTATCCCAGCAGTTCTCATGATGTACTCTGCATATAAATTAAATAAGCAGGCTGACAATATACAGCCTTGACACACTCCTTTCTCTATTTAGAACCAGCCTGTCATTCCATGTCAAGTTCTAACAGTTGCTTCCTGACCTGCACACAGATTTCTCAAGAGACAGGTCAGGTGGTCTGGTATTCCCATCTCTCTCTCTCTCTCTCTTTTTTTTTATTTTAGGATGGGGCAATTTATTCAAAGCAAAAGGAACAGGACAAAGGTCCTGAGTTTTTTGCAAACAAAATCTCTGCAATAATTCTGCAAAATCAGCATGATTGTTATATCCATCCCATCTCTTTAAGCACTTTCTGCAGTTTGTTTTGATCCACCCAGTCTAAGGATTTGGCCCAGTCAATAAAGCAGAAGTAGATGTTTTTCTGGAACTCTCTTTTTTTGATGATCCAGTGGATGTTGGTAACCTGATCTCTGCTTCCTCTGCCTTTTCTAAAACCAGCTTGAACATCTGGAAGTTTGCCGTTCATGTAGTGTTGAAGCCTGTCTTGGAGAATTTTGAGTGTTGTTTTATTAGTATGTGAGATTAGTGCAACTGTGCGGTAGTTTGAGCATTCTTTGGCATTGCCTTTCTTTGGGATTAGAATGAAACCTTACCTTTTCCAGTCCTGTGGCCACTGCTGAGTTTTCCAAATTTGTTGGCATATTGAGTGCAACACTTTCACAGCACCATCTTTTAGGATTTGAAATAGGTCAACTGGAATTCCATTACCTCAAATAGCTTTGTTTGTAGTGATGCTTCCTAAGGCCCACTGGACTTTGCATTTCAGGATGTCTTGCTCTAGGTTGGTGATCACACCAGATGCAAAAATCAAAAATTATGGTAACACAGTTCCATGAGAGAGTAGCTAAGAAAATTCTGCGAGTCCAGGCTGGGCTACTCTCAGATATTCCCAGCCCAAACACCACACTTGTGAGAGGAGATATTGTGTGAAAATTGAGTCATTGTTCTCTATGTAACCTTTTTCTTCTGTGCTCACAGATCACCTTAGAGAAGAATGGCTCCTGGAAAAGGCTTTTTTGTGACCAAATTCATTCTGCTGGAATTAACAAACCAGCGAGATCTTCAACTCCCTCTATTCTTCCTGTTCCTAGGGAAGTACATGCTCACTGCGCTGGGAAGTTTGGGATTGATAATCCTAACTGCACTGAATTCACACCTACACACCCCCATGTACTTTTTCCTGTTTAACTTGTCTTTCATAGGCCTCTGTTATTCTTCTGTACTCACACCCAAAATACTGATTAACTTCACATCAAAGAAGAATATTATTTCTTACCTGGGGTGCATGACCCAGCTCTACTTCTTCTGTTGTTGTTTTGTTTTTTTTTTTAAATCATTTCTGAATGCTATGTGCTGACATCAGTGGCCTATGATCACTATGTGGCCATCTGTAACCCACTTTTGTATAATGTTGCCATGTCCCCTAAAGTGTGTTCTAGCCTAATGATTGGTTCATACTTGGCATTTTCTGGTGCCATGGCTCACACTGGATGCATGCTGAGACTGATCTTCTGTGATGCAAACACCATCAATCATTATTTCTGTGACATCCTCTCTCTGCTCAAGCTCTCCTGCACAAGTACCTACGTCAGTGAGCTGGAAGTGTTCATTGTAGTGGGCATCAATATCATTGTGCCCAGTCTCACCATCTTTGTCTCTTATGGTCTTATCCTCACCAACATCCTCCACATCAGCTCCACAAAGGGCAGGTCCAAAGCCTTCAGCACCTGCAGTTCGCACATCATTGCTGTTTCTCAATTCTTTGGATCAGGGGCATTATGTATCTCAAACCACCTTCTGCTGAGTCTATGGATGAGGGGAAAATCTCTTCTGTCTTTTATATCAATACGGTTCCCATGGTGAACCCACTAATTTAGAGCCTGAGGAACAAAGATATTAAACTTAATCTGAGAAAAACCCTGAGTAGGAGACAGTTTTGATTAGAACTGTATGCATGAGTTACAAGACTGAGATGTTGAGTGTTTAATTTTAGTGACAACCTTCTTGCCATATTTTTTATTATCTTTTTTACCTCGTATCTTAAAGAACTTTGAGTACTGTTTGAATAATTTATTTCCATTTTTATATATTTCTCTCACTGTTTTCAAAATACATATAATTTCCTTTTCTTGCATAGTAATAATATTAAATAGTGAATATATTATCTCTTTTCATTATCATTTTGAATTTATTTTTACACTGGGAAAAGATGAATGGTCTCCAAATAAGGAATTACATAACACTAGATTGAAAACATATCACTGGGGTTGTTTTCAATCTATCAACTTGCAATAAGAATGATAAATAAGATACTCTGTTTCTACTCTCATCTTCCATATTTAACAAGGCAATAATATACCTTCTTTAAATACCTTCTTTAGATTATTGGTTCTAAGAGTATCAAGGATAATCCATTTCCCATCTGTAAACATTTAGTGTTAATCTTCTTTTGGCAAAGAGTTTATTTTTCACCTTTGTAAGTCAAATCGACACATAGCTAATCATCAAAATTCATGTTTTTCATGGGTGGGAAAGTGAAGCCAAGTCTGGATAATGATTTACTTAAAGTCACACAGCTTTAGAAAGAAAAATTGTAAACTAACTTCTTATTCTGATTTCAAGTGTATTATTCTTCAGTATACTCTATATACTCTTGATCATGTTATTCTATTTCAGTGAGCATGAAATATAACAAAACATTCCTGATTTAAAGTTGACTCTCCTCTGTCTCAGAATGACATATGAATTGTTCTCAAGGTGGGTATTCCTTTCTTCTTTTTAGCAAAACAGTTTGATTGTCTTTTGCTGTTGTTGTCAGACAGAGAAAGCCTTTTTAAGCTCATATATTATAGAGATGATTTGCTCAAAAAGGGAAATTACTACTTCTGCAAAATTAAAAACCTGAATTTGGAATGCTTTCTAGTGTTTATACTTCAGAGAGCAGGGCACGAGCAGTAAGGATGCTCAGAAACATTTAATTATGTCAGGACTTAAGAAGGAATATGGTCAATAAACAAGATGTCCCAGTGTGAGACATGGTCATGAGATTTAGGGACTCAGGCTCCCTTGTGGCTCAGCTGGTAAAGTATCTGCTGCAGTGCAGGAGACCTGGATTTGATCCCTGGGTTGGGAAGATACTCTGGAGTAGGGAACCCACTCCACTATTCTGGCCTGGAGAATTCCATGCATTGTATAGTCCCTGGGGTCACAAAGAATCAGACATGACTGAGTCACTTTCACTTTCGTTCTGAAACTATTTCCTGTTTTGCATATTTCACTATTCATAAATCTTTGATAAAACTATTTGCATAATGAGCACACTTGTTTAGTGTTTTGGAGAAGGGAATTGGAAGAGCTGTGATTTCATTTGGGGAAGTGAATAGAGAGATGGCATCAATTACAGGAGATAAATCGTGAGGAGTAACTGAATTAAGAAAGGAAGAAACAATTTACACAAAACAGTTTTGGATAAAGAAAACCTTTACCTATGGACTCACTCTTTGTGCAAGACCCTAGATACTATTGAGATCACAGAATTTCTCTATATAAGATGAAAGCTTAAGTTATTTATGATTTAAAATGTTAAACCAACAGGACTAAATGACCTTTGAACAAGTAGATTATTGTGTTACATTCATATGGAGTTTTAGGTATAGAAACATCAAATTGCAGCTGGGAGAATAATGACAATGTGAAAGAAATATTTAGAGAATGAAGCAAGTTATGACAAGAATCTTGGATTATTTTTTGAAAGCAAAAATGTGCTATTTAAACATCCTCAATGTGCTGTTATCAGTGGTACTGTAATCATTTTCTAAGATTTTTTTTTCACTTTTTAAAAGGACAGTATTTTATATTATTTATTTATTTATTTATTTATTTTTCTTCATTTATTTTTATTAGTTGGAGGCTAATTGTGTTACAATATTGTAGTGGTTTTTGTCATACATTGACATGAATCAGCCATGGATTTACATGTATTCCCCATCCCAATTCCCCCCTCCCACCTCCCTCTCCACCCAATTCCTCTGGGTCTTCCCAGTGCACCAGGCCCAAGCACTTGTCTCATGCATCCAGCCTGGGCTGGTGATCTGTTTCACCCTAGATAGTATACATGTTTCGATGCTGTTCTCTCAAAACATCCCACCCTCACCTTCTCCCACAGAGTCCAAAATTCTGTTCTGTACATCTGTGTCTCTTTTTCTGTTTTGCATATAGGGTTATCATTACCATCTTTCTAAATTCCATATATATGTGTTAGTATACTGTAATGGTCTTTATCTTTCTGGCTTACTCCACTCTGTATAATGGGCTCCAGTTTCATCCATCTCATTAGAACTGAGTCAAATGAATTCTTTTTAATGGCTGAGTAATATTCCATGGTGTATATGTACCACAGCTTCCTTATCCATTCGTCTGCTGATGGGCATCTAGGTTGCTTCCATGTCCTAGCTATTATAAACAGTGCTGCAATGAACATTGGGGTGCATGTGTGTCTTTCAGATCTGGTTTCCTCAGTGTGTATGCCCAGAAGTGGGATTGCTGGATCATATGGCAGTTCTAATTCCAGTTTTTTAAGAAATCTCCACACTGTTCTCCATAGCGGCTGTACTAGTTTGCATTCCCACCAACAGTGTAAGAGGGTTCCCTTTGAATAATAGTCATCACTTAACATTCTTCTTAATCTCCAGTGAGTATTTATGTATTTTGAAATTTGGCAAAGCTGATTTTTGAATTGTTTCTTGTTTTTGTTTTTGTTTTTTGAGATGTTCAGCATAGCTTAATCCTTGGCTGATATTTTTAGATGACCACTCATATTTCATCTCCTGATTGCAGTATGAACATGATTGATTTTTCTTTAACAAGTTTTATTTACATACATCTAAACTAGTGAAATTAACTGGGCCATTTGGAAACCTACAGAGTACAGCTGCATGTACTCTATTATGTATTTTATAACAATTGGAAGATCCCTAGGAGTGAGTTAAGCCTGGTCACTAATCTTCCTTTTCATGAGCCTCAAAATTAGAATGAACTCTGTTCACTTACATAAAAGAACTACTCCTTAAAATGAGTAATTTGTATCTGGTTAACTTGACAATAATATAAATAACTTAAAATACAATTTGTAATAATTACATGTAGTAACATTGTAAAGGAGGCAACTTTGCTGATTGTTCAACAAATTAATCATGTTTTAGTTAGCAATGGAAATGTGCATCTCTCTATTTGGACTTCTTCTAAGTGGAAGGGAATCAAGCCAGAGTATCTTAAATGTTCAGTCCAGTCACTCAGTTGTGTCTGACCCTTTGTGATGCCATGGGCAGCAACACGCCAGGCTTCCCTGCCCATCACCAACTCCCAGAGCTTGTTCAAACTCATGTGCATTGAGTCGGTGATGCCATCCAACCATCACATCCTCTGTCGTCCCCTTCTCCTCCTGCCTTCAGTCTTTCCCAGCATCAGCGTCTTTTCTAATGACTCGTTTCTTCTCATAGGGTGGCCAAAGTGTCGGAGCTTCAGCTTCAGCACCAGCCCTCCCAGTGAAAATTCAGGACTGAGTTCCTTTAGGATTGACTGGTTTGATATCCTTCTATTTCTCCCTTTCTTGAGTTATGTGACTGGCACAGACAGGTTTTGAGGAAAGTTACAATTCTACTAAAGGTGTTCAATCTTAGAGTCAAATTTGTAAGCTCTGGGTTTCTCCTATGCTCATCAACCAGGACACTTCAGTTCAGTTCAGTTCAGTTCAGTTGCTCAGTCGTGTCTGACTCTATGACTCCATGAATCGCAGCACACCAGGCCTCCCTGTCCATCACCAACTCCCGGAGTTTACTCAAACTCATGCCCATCGAGTCGGTGATGTCATCCAACCATCTCATCCTCTGTCGTCCCCTTCTCCTCCTGCCCTCAATCCCTCCCAGCACCAGGTCTTTTCCAATGAGTCAACTCTTCACATGAGGTAACCAAAGTATTGGAGTTTCAGCTTCAGCATCAGTCCTTCCAATGAACATCCAGGACTGATCTCCTTTAGGATGGACTGGTTGGATCTCCGTGCAGTCTAAGGGATTCTCAAGAGTCTTCTCCAACACCACACTTCAAAACCATAAATTTTTTCAGCATTCAGCTTTCTTCACAGTCCAACTCTCACATCCATACATGACCACTGGAAAAACCATAGCCTTGGCCAGATGGACCTTTGTTGGCAAAGTAATGTCTCTGCTTTTTGATATGCTCTCTAGGTTGGTCATAACTTTCCTTCCAAGGAGTAAGCATCTTTTAATTTCATGGCTGCAATCACCATCCTCAGTGATCCTGGAGGCCAAAAAATAAAGTCTGACACTGTTTCCACTGTCTCCCATCTATTTCCCATCAGGTTGATGGGACCAGATGCCATGATCTTAGTTTTCTGAATGTTGAGCTTTAAGCCAACTTTTTCACTCTCCTCTTTCACTTTCATCAAAAGGCTTTTTAGTTCCTCTTCATTCTCTGCCATAAGGGTGGTGTCATCTGCATATCTGAGGTTATTGATATTTCTCCCGGCAATCTTGATTCCAGCTTGTGCTTCATCCAGCCCAGCGTTTCTCATGATGTACTCTGCATAGAAGTTAAACAAGCAGGGTGACAATATACAGCCTTGACATACTCCTTTTCCTATTTGGAACCAGTCTGTTGTTCCATGTCCAGTTCTAACTGTTGCTTCCTGACCTGCACACAGGTTTCTCAAGAGAAGGGTCAGGTGGCCTGGTATTCCCATCTCTTTCAGAATTTTCCACAGTTTATTGTGAACCACACAGTTGAAGGCTTTGGCGTAGTCAATAAAGTAGAAATAGATGTTTTTCTGGAACTCTCTTGCTTTTTCAATGATTCAGCGGATATTGACAATTTGATTTCTGGTTCCTCTGCCTTTTCAAAAACCAGCTTGAACATCTGGAAGTTCTCAGTTCACGTATTGCTGAAGCCTAGCTTGGAGAATTTTGAGCGTTACTTTACTAGCGTGTGAGATGAGTGCAGTTGTGCGGTAGTTTGAGCATTCTTTGGGATTGCCTTTGTTAGGGATTGGAATGAAAACTGACCTTTTTCAGTCCTGTGGCCACTGCTGAGTTTTCCAAATTTGCTGGCATATTGAGTGCAGCACTTTCACAGCATCATCTTTCAGGATTTGAAATAGCTCAACTGGAATTCCATCACATCCACTAGCTTTGTTTGTAGTGATGCTTTCTAAGGCCCACTTGACCTCACATTCCAGGATGTCTGGCTCTAGGTGAGTGATCACACCATTGTGATTATCTGGGTCTTGAAGATCTTTTTTGTACAGTTCTTCTGTGTATTCTTGCCACCTCTTCTTTATATTTTCTGCCAGGACAGAGTTCTTTCTAAATTGGTGTGAAATTGGATACTTTTCCAAAATGTTGCATCATGAATATATATTTCCTTTCTTAATTTAACTAGACTAGTGACTTCAAATATTATACAATATATTGGGAAGATTCTAAACAAGAGATTGAGAGCTAAGAAGATGTTTCAAAGAAGCTTATATTTAAAATTTCATATGGCATAATTTTAATTTTCATTCATCAGAAATTCAGTGCTTAGAAGTTTCTTCCATCTCCCTTTTAAGTTTTGCCCCACTAAAAAGAAACAAACAAACAAATTATATAATTGTGGTAGCTCACAAGTCATTATTTTGTGTGTGGATAACCTCTTTTTTGGGGGCATTTTGAAGGCATGTTTTTCAGTGTTTGATGCTTTTCTATCTATAAGAGAACACTCTATTATCACAGAACGATACTCTTCTCCCTCCTTCCACTCAATATAAGTAGAGTGTTTAAAGATAAACTCGTGTAGAATTATTTTTCACACAAAAACACATATATTTCTAAAATGGGTTGAATCTCCCAAGACAATTGAGTGGTCTTTGAAAAGTAAACATTCTCCTGCTTTCTTTTTTATGTTTTTGAGAAGGTTAAAGTTTTGTACCATATTTAAAGTGTGCAAGATATTTCGATCAATCAGAAGAGAACTTTCATGGCTTCTCATCGAGTTAACTCTGACTCAATTTCTTCTTTAATTTTAACCAAGCCTTAATCATAGTTTTGAGAATTATGTTTTTACTACATAGCTTCAGCTTTCAAGTGGGTAATGGAGAACCACTGAAAGTTCTTGAACTAGGGAGGGACAGAGCTGTGATTTCAGGCTTTATTCTAGCAGCATTATTCATGAACAAATAGGAGTGAATATGTGGCAAAATGTGAAAATAATAGTTAGGGGCCTCTATAGTTCAACATTACACTAGTTCAGTTTAATCATAAAGCCAGAAGTTGTATGGTGTCTGGGGACAGGTGGGTGCAGATCATTGTCATTGTAGATGATGCGGTTTAGCACAAGAGAAGTTTTGGATGTATCCTGAAAACTCTTAGATTAAAAATAAGATGAGTTTCAGAAGTATTCGTTGAATCCTTTCTGTGTACTCAGGATTGTTCTTAGTTTCAGGATCCAAATAGTTAACAAGATAGAACAAATGTTTGTCCTTATAGAATATACAGTTCATAGAAAAGCACAAATTAAAGGGGAAAAGCCTAATGAGTATTATGAAAGAGAATCTACTGAAATTTATGAGAACATGAGTAATAACAGCTGATGTTAATTGACTCTCACATGCCAATACTGGCCCAACCATTTTACTAAGGTGTTTGTTTGTTTTTTTTTTTTCATTTGGTTAACACAACAGCTCAATGAAAGAGAAGCTATTTTTACATTCCTTATTTTACATAGAATCAAGAGATTCAATAACTTGTCCAAAGTGTTATAGTGTGTAAAAGTGGAAGACGGGAGGTAGGAAGGATTCACAGCACTCTCTCTAACTCTATAACCCATACCCTTTTCTATGATGAGAAGAATTGATAACTTCAGTTATCTGAAATGTTACTAAAATGTTTCAAAAAATTAGGCAGCAGTAAAGTCTCCTGGTAGAAATTTCAGGAATACATTAAACATATAAACTACAGAAAGGATATACTAAATTGCAAATTATTTCAGAGACATCTCACAAAGAGAACAACTGAAATGAGCTGCTGCAACATTTGATGTGTTCAGATAAAGAAATAAAGAAACCTGGAAGTGGGTCTTTTCAGGAAATATGTCCATTTAGTAAATGTGAATAAATGTAGTAGCTTTCCCCTCAGAGGTGTAGATAATGAGGAGGTGGGAATTCGCTTTGGATCTACCTGAGGGATGCACAGTCCCCACAGTAAAGCAAAAATGAAGAAGAGCGAGTCCCTAAGGAACTAAAGACAGATCAAGAACCAGAATCCATAATTTCCTTATTCCATATTGTGCGTATAATCTACACCTGGGGAGGAGACCAAGCAAGCTTCTAACCTGCCTTTCACCAAGTACATTACATCATTACACTCATGTAAGGCTGATAATAAAAGGATTATTTTTCTTCTGTCACATAAGAACACTGAAAATAAGAAAAATTACAGAAGCTCAGAGTGCTTTCAGGGCACAAGTGAATTAATGTCTAGCTCCTCTCCCTAAAATCAAATGGATCAAGCCTGGAGAATGTGAAATAACATTTCCAGAATCAACAGGGTAAAGATATAGGGTAAGGGAGACAGTCCTGAAGTTTTAAGATCAAAGTTGGGTGAGTTTCTGAATTTAATTTACAATGCTTATTCCTTGTTTTGTGACCAAAGTCCAGGGACCTATTATATGTCCACTCTTTCCCATTATGTGCAGCTGAGACTCAAGTAAAACTACTGGGGGCATCTGTTGGAGAGGAATCAGAGAATATTAGAGGGGCTCAAAGGCCATATCAGTCAGGAAGTTTCCTCTAAGTAGGTAGATCTCTTACTCTTCTTCCTTTATGATTTTTACTCTGTGACAAGGTTAATAACTTAATTCTCATAGACTCTGGTCCCATCATCTTGATTTAGAAACAGTGCTCCTGGTTCCTGCCACATTAGATCTAATCTGCATGAGAAGCCAGCGCCAGGTTGCTAGGGTCACTGCCTCCAGTTGTACTGGTGAGGAAAGAGCTCACAGGAATAAGGGAATGTTGGGAAGAGAGTAGAAGAGTTGCATTCTTGTCCATCCTTCTTTTCCCTGGGTTTTTCCAGAAGATATATTTGCATATGGTAGCTCTTGCCTTCCCTCTCTAGTATGATTGTGGTGTCCTTTGCTATATTTAGCTTATAAAAACTCTAATTAGGTGAGTCCACATCACTCTATATCCTGATAATGGAAAAGGCAGACTGTATGGGACCAGGTCAGGATAGTGTCAGGCATTCACAGTGTGTATTCTGTTTTGTAGAATGGGACACTGGATAAACTGAATTGTTCTCTAATGGAACCCTTTCTCCTGTATCCACAGATTCCTTTAGAGAAGAATGGCTCCTGGAAATGGGTCTTTTGTGACTCAGTTCATTTTGATAGGATTAACAGACCAACCAGATCTCCAGCTTCCCTTGCTCTTCCTGTTCCTAGGAGTGTATATGGTCACTGTGATGGGGAACCTGGGCTTGATAATCTTAATTTTGCTAAATTCACATCTACATACCCCCATGTAGTTTTTCCTCTTTAATTTGTCCTTCATAGATCTCTGTTATTCTTCTGTGTTTACACCCAAAATGTTGATTAACTTCACATCAAAGAAGAATATTATCTCTTACATGGGGTGCATGACTCAGCTCTACTTCTTCTGTTTTTTTGTCATTTCTGAAATCTATGTGCTGACTTCAATGGCCTATGATCACTATGTGGCCATCTGTAACCCACTCTTATATAACATTGTCATGTCCCCTAAAGTGTGTTCCAGCCTTATGCTTGCTTCCTACTTGATGGCATTTTCTGGTGCCATGGCTCACACTGGATGCATGCTCAGGCTGACCTTCTCTGATGCAAACACCATCAACCATTATTTCTGTGACATCCACCCTCTGCTCCAGCTCTCCTGCACAAGCACCTTCATCAATAAGCTGGTAGTTTTCTTCGTGGCAGGCATCAATATAATTGTGCCCAGCATTGCCATCTTTGTCTCTTATGGCCTCATTTTCTCCAACATCTTTCATATCAGCTCCACGGAAGGCAGGTTCAAAGCCCTAAACACCTGCAGTTCTCACATAATTTCTGTTTCTCTGTTCTTTGGGTCAATGTCATTTATGTATCTCAAACCATCTTCTGCTTGGTCTGTGGATGATAGAAGAATCTCTTCTGTCTTTTACACCAATGTGGTTACTATGATGAACCCCTTAATCTACAGCTTTAGAAATAAAGATGTGAAAACAGCTCTGAGAAAAAGTATAAATGGAATTCAGTTTTGATTAGCAACAGTCTCTTTTTGTGCAGATATTCAAAGTATAGGAAGATATTCTTTTCAATTATAATAATCTTATTAGCATCTTTTTATGTTATTTTGTTTTTATCATATTGTAGAAATTTGAGACTTAACTTATTTATACTTATCATACAGGAACACTTCTCTCCTTATTCATCATTTGCATAATTTCCTTTTCTCACATGTTCCCATGTATTAGTACTATTAAAAAGACATTTACTATCTTAGTTACTATTTATAAGTGTGGTGTTGGAGAAGACTCTTTAGAGTCCCTTGGACTGCAAGGAGATCCAACCAGTCCATCCTAAAGGAGATCAGTCCTGGGTGTTCATTGGAAGGACTGATGTTGAAACTGAAACTCCAATACTTTGGCCACCTAATATGAAGAACTGACTCATTTGAAAAGACCCTGATGATGGGAAAGATTGAAGGTGGGAGAAGAAGGGGACAACAGAGGATGAGATGGATGGATGGCATCACCGACTCAATGGACATGAGTTTGAGTAAACTTCGGGACTTGGTGATGGACAGGGAAGCCTGGCATGCTGCAGTCCCTGGAGTTGCGAAGAGTTGGACATGACTGAGCCACTGAACTGAACTGAACTTTCTATTTATGAGCTTCCCAGTTGGCTCATTGGTAAAGAATACGCCTGAGATTGCAGAAGATGCATTTTCAATACCTGGGTCAGGAAGATACTCTGGAGGAAGAAACAGCAACCCACTCCTGCATTCTTGCTTGGGACATCCCATGGACAAAGGATCCTGGGGGGCTACTCTCCATGAGGTCACAAATACATATGACTTAGTGAATGAGCTTGCACATGTTACTACTTATTCTAATACATTTTATTTGTTTATTATATTATGTTCTAGAAAACATTTTTGTCCATTAGTTTGAACTTCCCTTTCCCTCTGAAAATATAAGACTGGCCAACAAATGATCAAATCAGGGAACATTAGTGTGATGTAATATCACTGGGGATGTCTTATCTGCCAATTGCCATTGGATGCATGAATCTCAGAATGTTTCCTCTTTCCATCTTTCCAGGCTTCATTTAGCAAGACTCAGTTCAGTTCAGGTCAGTCACTCAGTCTTGTCTGATGCTTTGGGACCCCAGACTATAATGCTTTTCGTTCCTGAGGTGGAAGATCTCAAGACACTGTTAAGTATAACACACTTTGCATATATAAACACTGCATTATACTTCCTTTGACAAAGTACTTTTTTTTTACCTGCACTCAATGGTTTGTCAAAATATATCTATTATATGGACAGTGCAATAAAGCTCAGAGTAGTCAATGATTTATTTACAATCATATGTTTTTGATGAAAAACTCTAGAATAAATTTAGGTTTCTGATGTCAAGTTTCTAATCTCCTTAGTATCCTTTGCTTCTATTTTATTTCATTAATTTTGTTTAAGTAAACATGGCACAGGGAAAACTATTCTAACTTGTAAGCTGACTGTTGCTTTTTTCACGGTGGTACATGAATTTTTTTCAGGGTGAGTATTGCTCTTTTATTTTATTGTTCTTTAGGAAGAGTTTGTCAGGGTGTTTTTTGTTGTAGTTACTTATTGGAAAGATAATACCTCTTGGGCTAGTATACTGGGAGATGATTGGTCAATTAAGAAGGTTCCTTCTTTCACAGAATTTTAAAAAAACAAAATAGATTTGGAATGTTTGCAAGTGTTTGCAATTCAGAGAACAGGGCATGGGAAAGAAAGGAACCCAGAAACCTCTCCTGAGGCCGGACATCAACAAACACATGGCCAATAAATAAGACGTCCCCTGTGGAGCATGGTTGTGGGGCTTGGGTCCTGCATTTTAATTTGGAAGTTTATTCTGTTCCATCTGGTGAGATAAATATATCCGGTCCATAAAGTTTTTTTCTAAACTTATAGTGCACAGTGACCATACAGTAGTAGAATTAGGTGAACAAAGGTGAATAAGCTATGATCAGACTGGGGAAAAAACAGGTAGAAATAAGACACTTTTTCATGACATAAAATGGTGAGTAGTAATTAAAGCTCAAATTAAAAGGAATCTAGAAAATATTGTAGAAAACTAAACCTATATTTATGAGTCTCCTCATTTTCCTGGACAGCCTTAGAAATATTATAGAGATCATGGGATTTATCTGGATAGCATAAAAACCAAAACTTTTGATATTAAAAAAAGCTAAGCTCACAAATCTCTGTTCCTTTAGTGTAACCTTGGCACAACCAAACAACTCCTGCTTTTGTTGGCTTCTGTATGCTACTTCCTTGTGAATTTTAAGGTATAAAACCATAAATCAGTCTGCAGTTAGAACAATGATAATTTGAAAGAAACATTTGGTGGATATCTAAAGTTGTAATAATGTGTTTTCTGGAATAGGTTATTGTATTTCTTTCTTTCTTTTTTTTTTGAGAAAATAGGGAAAATGGTTAGTCTAAAATTCATAAGCCTTAATTGTGACAATTTCAACATTCTTTTTTTTTTCTTTTTTTTTTGTTTTTATTTTTTTTTATTTATTTATTTTTTTCATTTATTTTTATTAGTTGGAGGCTAATTACTTTACATCATTGCAGTGGGTTTTGCCATACATTGAAATGAATTAGCCATGGATTTACATGTATTCCCCATCCCGGTCCCCCCTCCCAAATCTCAAAAATATACAAGCAACTCCTCCAGCTCAACTCCAGAAAAATAAATGACCCAATCAAAAAATGGGCCAAAGAACTGAACAGACATTTCTCCAAGGAAGACATACAGATGGCTAACAAACACATGAATTTCAACATTCTTAAAGGTAATTTTAATAAGATTTTTGATTTTACTTGTTTTCTAATCTTCTCTCAAGAGTTAGATATTGTGAATTTAGCAACACTGGTATGTTTGCTTGTTTGCATTTTTATATGTTCAGCATTGACTTATGTTTTCTTTCTCCTTGCTGTATCCTTGACTTATGGTTTTAAATGACCACTGATACCACAGGCCCTGGTCTCAATACAAACATATATGATTTTCACATGCCAAGGTCTATAGGTATACAAAATAGTTGACCTAGTTAGATATTTTTTCTCATTTACATATTATCATTTTTTATAAACTTGTCTTCCTTATTGATAGAGGAGTGTATCTAAAGAAGTAAATAATAATTACACTATTTGGGAACTGTTATATGCACTGAAGAAGTGCATCCAATCTGTTCTGAATTTTAGCATTATTTGAGGTGCCAAAAATCTGTTAAAGCTGATCACAAGTCTTCCTTTTGAGAAACTTCAAAATAGAAGTTAAATTTGTCTCATTTTTAGAAAAAGTAAGTGCTCTTTCATATTAGATGTCATTCTGTCAAAGTATTGCAGAAAAAATGACTGAGCAACTAAACAACACAAGTGTTAAAGTCAGTAATGGTGGAATAAGGAAAACAAGATTCACAACAGTCTAACTCAATATCCCCTACTGTTTTCTATGATAAGAAACTGATAACTTCAGTTACTGAAATTTTACAGAAAGTGACCCAACAGGAGAGACAGGTAGAAATTTCAGGTGTTTATTAAAGATATAAAATATAGAAGGGATATCTGTGCTGTGTGCTTAGTCGTGTCCGACTCTTGCAACCCCGTAGACTGTAGCCTGCCAGGCTCCTCTGCCCATGGGATTCTCCAGGCAAGAATACTGAAGTGAGTTGCCATTTCTTTCTCCAGGGTCTCCTGCATTGCAGGCAGACTCTTTGCCGACTGAGCTATGAGGGAAGTCCCAATAGAAGGGACATAGAGTATTGCAAAATATTTCAGATACCCTACAGAGAGAACAACTAAATGAGTTATTTCAACATTTGAAAAAATTTAGGTAAAGAAATAAGGAAACCTGAAAGTAGGACCCTTGGAGAAAATACATTCACTTAAGAAATGGACAAAAGAGGGAATGAAGCAATGCAGTAACTTTCCCTTTGGATGAGAAGATAATGAGGGAGACGGGAATTAACCTTGATCCACCTGAGGAATGTTCAGTCCCTAGAGTAGAGTGAAAATGGTTAAAAGAGTGAGCCCCTAAGGAACTAAAGATAGATCATGAACCATTTATATAATTTCCTTCTTCTTCTTTTTTTTTTTTAATATGATCTACTCCCTGGGGAATTGTTGGAGCAAACCTCCAGTCTGTTTTTAACCATGAGCATTACATCATTACACTCATATTAAATCTTCTGTGTCTAATCAAGTTGTGATTGTGATAATAAAATGCTTTGTTTTCCTCTACCTCCTGAGGGGACTGAAAATAACTGGAAATTATGGTAGTTCATAAAGTTTTTGAGGGCATACGTCAATGCTGTCTCATTTTAGAGTCAAAGGAATCAAGCGTCAAGACCCTGACATTACATTTCCAGTACCAGCAAGGTGAAGACTAATGATAAGGGAGACAGCCCCATGGTTTTCTGACCTGAGGGTGAGTTTCTGAATTCATCTTACATGCTGAATTCCATTTATAATAATTATTCCTTGTTCTGAGATGAAAATCCAGGGTCCATTGTTTCTCATTTTGTGTAGTTCTGGGAGTCAAGTGAAACTAGTAGATGAATCTGTTGGAAAGGAGTCAGAGAATGTTCAGAAACATGAGGGGGCTCAAAGGGCATATCAGTCAGGAAGTTTCTTTTAAGTAGGTGCAACTTTCACCCTTCTGCCTTTATACTCTGTGACAGATGGAGTAACTTAACTTATAGATTCTTATCCCTTCATTTTGGATTAGAAGGCATGTTTTTGATTTGGACCATGTCACAGCTAATCTGCCTTAGAAGCCAGTGCCAGGTTGCTAGGATCACTGCCTCCAGTTATAGTGGTGAGGGAAGAGTTCAAATGAGGAAATGTAGAGATGACAGTAGAACAATTGTATCCTAATCCATCTCTTCCTGTTGGATTTTCCAGCAGGAATGCTTGCATATGGTAGGACTGGCTTTCCCTCTGTAGGCTGTTTGTGATGTACTTTGCTATATTTAACTTGTAAC